GTGTGTGTGTGTGTGTGTGTGTGTGTGTGTGTGTGTGTGTGTGTGTGTAGGGGTGGGGAACGGACGGGGACGACGACATGACAGATCAACACCTCCCATGGTGAGGGAGAGGACAGGGGCAGGGGCAGACGCTGCCCAACCGGGGCGGGCAACGGAACAGAAGCGTGGATCGTGAGGTAGGGGCAGCTCCCGCTGCTGCTTGGGAGGTCAGGGGATCTGCATGATGCAGGGCGGGCTGCAGTTGTGGGGTGGAGCTGGAGCTGGCACTGCATGGGGTTTTTTTTGCCAGAGGTTGGGCTCAGAGCGGGCTCCGGCAGCACTGGGAGGATGCTGACGCTACCCCAAATTTCACTGCAGTTCTGCTCCCAGCACTGTGCTGCTACCTGGCACAGCCCCAACTTTTCCTGGTGCTTGGGTACAGGAGGGGCGTTCAGCTGGGGCTGTAGCGGGTGGCGTCACGGGGCTGGGAGCAGATCTGCGGTGAAATTTGGGGTGGGTGCAGCCTCCTTCCAGCATCACCAGAGCCCACTCTGAACCCAGCCCCTGGAAAGAAAAGCCCCGCGCAGTGCCAGCTCCAACCAGCAGCTGCAACCTGGCCTAGGCAGCACCTGTCCCTGCCCCCTCCCTCACCGCGGGGGGGCATTGATCTGCGCCCCCCCCCCTCCATCCCTTCCCTCCCCGCTTCCCCTCCGACTTACCAGCAGGAGGCAGCTCTCCAAGATACCAGCTCTGCTCCATGCTGTGCTGCATTTGCGCGCAGCACGGGCATTTATCAGCCAAATAATTGGCCCCATCAGGCCGACAGCCAATATAGGCAATTTTATTTATATTGGTACTGATCCGATATTGGACCTATGTATTGGTGCACCTCTAGTTTTCATCACAAAATGCAGAATGGCAGAAGCCACTATATATCAGTTCTCATACCCGCCCACCAAAGAACAGGCAGGGTCCTGACAGAAACCTGCCTGGTTTCATGCCACCCCAGCTGAGGAACTCCTGGGAACATCAGGCCTTTCAGGGTCCTTGTGGAGCCGAGGCCAGAAATCCTGGTAGCCCCGACTCCAACTTCAATTTTAGTTTCTAGTCTAGGGAGCCTTTAGAGATCAGACCTGAACTGTAATAGGTGTTTCTAGGCTCCTTGAACCAGCAGGATGCCTGACAGCTTCACCTGGAGTCAGGGCTCTCAAGGCTTCTAGGCTCTCTGGCTGGGATGCCCTGTGCAGTTAGGGGCGGTCACACAACACACTCAAGATAATCAGAACAAATGGTTTAATATTTCTGGAAGACAGAAGAAACGATCAGAATATCCTGGCTGTAGAAAATTTTGCAATTTCTCATTTTTATGCAAATTTGTAAGAAAACCTTTTTCCAGAATGGAGATTGAGAATTATGGCCAGTCTCTATTCCTGTCTCCTTTCAGTTCTTTCCCTATGCCCAGCCTGCCTCTGAAAGCAGTTTCTGCAGAAGCAAACAGAACCAGCTTCTGTGAGACTGTGAAACTTGATAGGAAAGGTGCATTACTTTGAATCCAGCACATCCTATTTAAGGGAGGCAAAATAAACACATTCTTCTGTCAGACCCTTTATATGATGCAGTCAACACTGGATGATTTATCACTAGTCTTACTTAGGTAGTGTGTAGTCCTGCCATTCACACACACGCATGCTTTAATGCTCTAGAAGATCCCAGAAGCAAAGCAAATAAAAACAGGGAAATGAAGGAAAGGGAAAGGAAAAGAAAAAATAATGGATTTCACAGGACAGACTGGTGATGGCACCTACCAAGCTTGGTATACAGGTTACTCAGGATTCGTGCGGGCTGTACTCTCATTGGGTGGATGTCAGCAATGCTCTGCACATTGATTCCATGGTGCTTCAAGATTTTCTTAATTTCATTGGATTCTGCCAAAACAGTAACTGTACAAAAAAAGAGCACTTTGCTATTTTAATCATAATTACTACTGTTTGTTCTGACCCCACCCATCATAGCCTCTTCCTAACATCCAGCTATCTACAAATGTAAGAGTCATATTCTGCTTTGACTGGCAAGTCTAACAATACCACTGGGGTTCCAGGAATATTTGGCATCTTTCATTCTTCAGTTTTCAGGCCAGTTTTCCCCAGTTCTCTCTGCTGTTGTAACAGGATGTAACTAGCCAACATACACATATGTCGTAGCAGGATCCAGATGCTGCTATACATACAGCAGAAGTAACCTCAGTTCTTGCTCAGGGCCCTGCTGTGACGAGTACTGTATGAAGACAGAAGACAACCAGGTCCATGCACAGAGGAATTTATAATCCAAGTTCTTGATCCACATATGCCAGTTTGCTGGACTGGGAGGTACTCTGTGCAGCCCTGTTAGGCCATACTGCTGTGGTCATAAATATTCATTAAGAGAAACAATATCCCATCTCTACCCACCAAAGAAACCATCACTGGTGAGTGAACAGTCCCCACCTTAGGTGCCAGCTTGTGATCTGTATTACTACCCCGGAACTGTCTGTGTGGGAGAACAGGAGGAAGAAACCACAGGCTCCACTGTATAGGCTGAGATAAACTAGAACGATAGCTGCTAGGGCCAAAAGGAAGAAAAGAGGCATAAAGGCTGCTCTTGACAAAACAGGAGCTACACGACTGCAAAAAGCAAAATGAGGCTTTATCTGTTGATCAGCTTCCAGGAGTCTGCTATTTCCCCCTAATCTGGTCTTTCTAGATGATACCACCACAAAGGCAGGCAGGCAGGCAAACTCTAGCATTGGTACTGGTGATGATCAAGATAAAACCTCTTATCCTTCTATGAAACATTAAGAGGTAGCAGGAAGTTTGTCAGTAGCAGCATGCTTGTTTTCTGCTGACTAATTTGTTCCCCACCTCTAAAGAGGCACTGGATTTGCAGGTTTGGGACCTTCCCCCTGCCCCAACACACACACACTAGCTGTGAAGATAGTCTGAAACTCTCCTGCATCCACCCAAACCTGGCCCCTTAGGGCAGGGACAGAAGGGAAAACATTCCATTTATGCACCACAGCAAGTGGCACATTGGCTGCCCTTGCCATCAGCATGGGCTTGACTTTTCAGTAACTGATGGAAGCAAGTGAAAACCATTTAATTCAACTGTTCACAAAAGAGTTTTAATACAATAATGGATTGAAGTTAATTCCTTCTTCTTGGAAGAAAACTAGTAGAATGAAAAAATGTCAAGGTCAGTTTCTCTCTCGTGGGTATCATCACCACAGCATCTGTTTGCCACACAACAACTGAGGAAGAAAAGCATGCCCAGCAGTGTAAGATTTCACAGCCAGTAATCTCTCTATGCTCCAGGATGCTTTTTTTTTGTTTTGTTTTTAATTATGCCTTTCTTTTTTACCGAGAGGTTAAAGTAAGCTTAATAACATCTCCTTTTATTCACAATGCATCAACTACAAATCACCAACCTTGTACCACAACATCAGGTTGAAAAGAAGTGGAAAATCTCCTATTTACAGGATCAATTTCACCTGGAGCTAGAAATCCCTAGGATAAAAGACAAAAAGGAGGAATAAAGAAAAAAAAACAGAGAAAATACCTTTAATCACATCTGAAAATCTCCATTTATGGGAAAAACCTTATCCTAATCCTCTAACTTCAATTCATATGTAAAAGAATTAAATAAAATTTTAGCCATTTTAGCTCCTTACTGAAAATCTTGCATAGTAAAATAAAACTTTAGGTTGTTTCTTACTGCAAAATGAAATTCCAAAAAAATAGTTTAGTGTTGTGATTGTGAAAACAGTTTAGTGTTGTATAACTGCCTTTCAACATTTTGAATCTGGAACTCTTGCAGTTGATCTGTTTGGGCACTTTTACATGTGCTCTGACACGATTAATCAAGTCTCCTGGAGCGTTCTAATTAGAAAGCTCCAGGATGCTGCAGCGCCTCATGTATTCAGCATCCCCTTGTTTCAAAATGGCCACAGGGGCTTTTTAATGAAAGCTTGTCGAATGACCATTAAAGTGTCCCCGCTGCCATTTTGAAATGCGGGACGCTGAATACATGAGATGCTGAAGGCTCTCGAGAGCCACTCTAATTAAAACGCTCCCCCCAACCCTTCCACCCCAGAGCATGTGTATAGGTGCCCTTTGATGCTGGCATTTTCTGCAACTACACCAAAAACCTAAATGTGTATCCTGAACCATGTATTTAGTAGGCTCAGTCTACAACCAACTTCTAGTAGGCTCCTAGAAGTTGGATGGTCAGTTCAGAGAAGTGTTTATAAGGTTTACTCAACCTACAAAGGTCTCTCCTTCCTCATACACTCCAAGCTCTTTGTATGTAACTAACTCCTTCCCTACCACACTCCCTATGGCTCTCAAACTCTTGGACTTTCCTCATACCCTTTGAGATCAATGCCTGGCTCAGCAATAGATCTGGCCAGTCTTCTCCATGGCCCTGCTGCTGATACTTTCTTGTTTCACAATATGAGGTTTGCTATTCACTAATCTGAGAGCCCCAGACCACATTGCAATGATCTCTGGTGAAGAAACCTGAGAGCATCTAGAACTCATACAGGTCACAAGAACCACATCCTGAATATGTACAGTGAACCGACTGACCCATTCCATGTACTCTCAAAAGAAACAGAGGACATAAACTACCCAAGAATCGCAGGCTTGTTTCTTCCAGAAAATATGAACCAACTGTCCCTGACCAACAGCAGTTTGGAACTAGGCAATACTCAATTGATTGCAAAGTGATGTACAATATTAACTTGCTTATTTTACAAGAAACACAGTTACCTCTGCTAACAAACAACCAAGGATATATAAAGACTGGCCCCACAGATGAGGCAATTTTCCAACTGGGACACGATCCACTGAGTGAGGATTTTTATACTCCTCATCCACCTGATAGAAAAAAGTTTAAAGAGGAGATGTTAGCCATCTGGTTACAAAGAAATATTAAACATCTTATTTTCCAAAATGGTTAATGCCGTTAGGGACCTGCACACTACAAATTCATGATGTGTCATTGGTAACGATGCCCCTCTTTCTTTTGTTTTCACTTCTTAGACCGTAAATTTTTTGAGCAATGACTTTGTGCAGAGTTGAGCCCAACAGAGCCTGATGCTGACAGGGGACTTTGAGTATGACTGTAATGTACACATTTAAACCTCCCTTTTTATTTTGGTTACATTCTTCCTTCCTTCATGCTCCCATTTGAATTTTTGACTATTTTCTTATGCCCTGCCAGAGAACATCTGGGTTCAATTGGTACTATCATAGCTCTCTAGAAGTATATGCTACAACACTCTTCCTGTGTTTACAAAGATGCTTAAAGAATGAAATAGGGAAGTCTATTAATAAAAGAGCCGATCATTTATTTGGCACAACAATGC